AATAATAACAATAATAATAATAATAATAAAAGAGCGGGGAGAGAACAGAGGGAGCGAGCGGGAGGGAGGGAGGGAGAAGCGAACCAACTCCGAGACTCCCATAAAGAGAGGCACACACGGAGCTAGCGCCCCGGTGCCGATGCGTGGGGGAAACAATAAGTACTCGAAGTTACCTGCCCTGCCGTAGAAGAAGGAGGGTTTGTTGGTTCTCTCGCAGACATCTGCAGACCGGTGCTTTTTTGGAAGAGTTTTTTTTTTTTTTTTTCCCCCCTCTCTCCTCTCTCTCTCTCTTTACAAACCACAAACGGATGTGAGGCAGGGAAGGTGTTTCTTTGACTACTGAAGTCAGGCACCTCTTTTTTATTCTTCTCAGTCTTGTTGTGTGTCCCCCCCTCCCCTCACACACACACACACTCACACACACACAGTCACCCCCCCCCCTTTTTTTGCACCAACATTAACGACAAAAAGAGAAGGAAAGGAGTTTGCTTGATGTTTTAGTGAAATGGACGTAAGATTTTATTCACCACCTCCTCAGCCTGCAGCCGCTCCTGATACGCCTTGTTTGGGACCTTCCCCCTGCCTGGACCCCTACTATTGCAACAAGGTGACTCGTGTTTTGTGTCGTCCGAGGTGTTTTATCTGTGCTGTCGATTGTGCTGTTGTCGCGGCGCGTTGCATGAGCGGGCGCTGCGCTTTGGCGAGCCGCGCACCAAGTTCACCGGCGAGGCAGAGGGCAGCGGCACTTGACGGGGTTTGGGGAGCGCAGTGCCGCCCGCCGCGGAGAGGTGCCGCCGGGACACACACCGGCTCCCCTGCAGGCACCCCCAAATTAAAACCCCGGAGTAGTTTGGGGGCGGGCGGCTGGAGGGGGGTGGGAGGTGGGGTGGGGGAGGCATTTTCCATAACATCGTCCCTTTCGGAGGAACAGCGTGGACAAGGATGTCGATGCGGAGGACTTGAATTTCCAGGGCTCCTGTTAATCGGAAAGATCGCGCCCACCGCAAACCGGCAGAAACTCTGCCCCGCCGCGTACCCTGCAGTTCATGTGTCAAAGCGGTACTTGGCGGTGCCGGGAGCACGTTTGTGTGTGTGTGACCTGCGTGTGTGTATGTGTGTGTATATATATATATACACACACACACGGACACGGACACATACGCACACATCTCTGTATATGCACAATAAGGGTGTATGAGGGTGACGAGTCGGTTCAGAACAGGGGCTCGACTTTGTCCCGGCTGTGCAACTGCCTTACCGGTCTCTCTGCAACTTGATGAAACCGCTGCAAACAGGGCCAGTAGCTGAGGAGAGCTAAGTTGTGGGTCCCCGAGCCCTGGGGAAGGAGGAACTGCGGAGAGGGCTCGCTCTAGCCCAAGTCCTGCGTTTGGTGACGAGAGTTTGGTGCCGCGATCCCGGAGCACTTTGCGTTACTTTTGCTGCCGAGGAAGGGGGCTGGGGTTCGTTCCCGCATTGTTCCTGCCTCCCCGGCCTGAGCCAGCTGGTGCTTTATGCATGAGCTGCACTTTCTCTGCTGTTACGGAATGGGCTTCGCACATGAATAAAGCGGGGGCCGTAGGAAATCGCCGGGAAGTGCGAGCTGCCCAGAGCGCTACTCGAGCGCACCCCCGCCCCGGGGAGACGGCTGCGAGCGAGCGCTGCCCGGGCGATGGGTTCAGACGCGGGCACTCGTTCAGCAACCTGCCGCGGGAGGCCGCGGCAGGCTGCAGCAGATGCTTTCGGCAGCGGAACCTCCGCCGTGCGCAGGGCCG